GCGCCTATAGATTCCAGCACGTTCATATCATCCTTTCTCCGCACAACGTGACTCATCGAAGTCCTCTAACGTGTCTGAGACCACACTCGACAGAAATATGTTCGAGGTTTCCATAATCAAATCTCCTATAACATGTAACAAAAACTATGAAAGCGACAGTCCGAAATGCACAGCAACTACCGCTCACGAATCATTGTAAAAATCACAGTGACGACACCTAGTGTTTGAGCATATTTTTCTGAAACCGAAACATCCATTGAAAACTCCAGAAACTAGTACAGGAAAGAACCCGTTGCCATGCTAACCGTCAGTAGGCTGGCATTGCGCTGATCCCCAACCCCCTTCACACCATAGACATAACACGGTAGAATATGTTTCAATACTTTACGCTTGCCAGTTAAGCCGACTGTGTATGTCATCCGACACAGACCGCATGTGTACTTGTTTATATTGTCCTTCGTCGTCCAGAACGGATGAGTTAGAGGTCGTAAATTAAATGGAAAATAACTGACTGATGCTTGAAACAACATTCTGTCACTCACAGTTAAGCAGTGTCCGTCTGGTCCTGATCCTGACCCTGCTTCGCACGTGACCAGGGTCATCACAAGGTGTCCACAGATGACCGCTGCTATGGACGCAACCTTCGAAGCCCCTCGGAAATTCCCGACTTTTAGTGGCAATCTTCTGAGCGACCGACCATTTGATATTCGGGGTTGGGAGGGTAGTAGGGTTAATGGATGAAAATAATTTGTCTTCAGGTTTCTCCCCAAAATATATTGTTCGCTGGGGATTCTGTGTGTCCTAAACAAAATGTGTTTTAAAAATAATACAGTGTTCGCGATCGGCTTCTGGCGGAAAAGGTATACTATCTCTCACAAAAATCCCAATACTGCTTAGTGTGGCGTTAAAAACTAGCGGACATAAGAAACGGCACCAAACAAATAATGGTCGTCAGTTTTCAACAAATTTGCCAAACAGCACGATAACAGTCGGGAACACATAGCTGAAATGGAACTTACCTATTCTCTGCGCACGTGCTTCACGTGATTTGCGAGAAAAGTGAAGTTAAAGAAAGTTACCCGTATGAAAATCTGGTATAAAACATGAGCAGGATTGTGCTCTCTCATCACATAAAACCGTTTAAATCAACGAGCATGCCTCGATTAACCGCAGAGCAGAGGGAGAGAGCCATCGGCATGTTGCAAATGGGAGCGACGCAGGAGCATGTTGCCAGGATCATGGGCTGCTTCAAGTGCACCATCGCCAGACTTGTCACACGTCACAGGCAAACTGGCAGTACTGCAGACAGGCCGAGGGGTGGAAGACCCAAGGTCACGACCCCACAGGAAGACCGGTATTTAGGGTGCTGCACCTAAAGTCCAGATTTCTAACTGTGACGTCATCATCCGCAAACGGCCTTGGACATCCAGTCAGCAGAAGGGTAGTTGCTAGACGACTCCGCCTGTAAGGTCTCCACGCCTATCGTTTCTACACCGGCGTCACAGACTGAGATGGGCCAGGACTGTACAGCAGTGGCAGCAGGGAAATTGGCGAAGAGTGTTCTTCAGTGACGAGAGTAGGTGCGAGCTCTTCAAGTCTGAATGACGGGTTCGAATCTATCAACGACGTGGTGAACGGACGGCACGTTGTTGCGTCCATGAAGTGGAGCCTTTGGAGGTTTTAATGTCATGGTCTGAGTGGCATCTGTGGGGATCAGAAGACAGATATTGTCATCATCGACGAAAATCTCACTGCACCTCGTTACAGTGATGAGGTTTTGTGGCCTGTGGTACTGCCCACGGTCGCTGTTTCAGCAGGTCAACGCCCCCATTCACACAGCTCGAGTCACTAGCGACTTTCTGAACGCCAACAACGTGACCGTAATACAGTGGCCCCTCCAGATCACCGGACCTGTCGCCCAAAGAGCACCTCTTGGACCAACTTGGACACCAGGATTCGGAAACGTTAACAGCCGCCATTCACGCGGGATGCAATTGCCCTGCAGGAAGAATGGCGTAGGATATCTAATCAGGATGTCAGGAGACTCGTGTACTCGGTGTTAGGGCCTGCATCGTTGCTGGAGGGGGTCACATCCGATATTTAGCCATGTGTGTAGCACAAGAGATCGACGTCGATACTGCGGGTGTGATCGAATACTGCACAGTGCAGAACATTAAGGACATGCTTTTTGATCTTGTCATTTTCAAATACCGTTTTTGAATAATCGTTTTTAAGAATAAAACCTCAACTGTTACTAAATTTTGCGTCTGTTTTGTTTTAGACCCGAAAATTGTTTGGTTGCGTTTCTTTTCCCCGTTTGTTTTTAATTATACAGTCACTCACGCTTCCAGAAAACTGTCTCCATGGTATAGTGGATAGAGAGTCTGCTCGGTGGGCAGAAGGTTGGGGGTTCAATACCCTGGCCCCGTCATACAATATACGTTAAAAGACGGCACTTATTGTTACCCTGCCTGGCGCAGTAATGTGTCTGAGTGGGGTATCCATGTTAAATTGAAGCAAGGTATCTTGGTGGGCTAGCACTATTAAAACTGCATACTTCATACACATTCAATCTGAAGAGGCTTAAAATATATTTCCTGTTAGATATCTCTTTTCCCATAATATCAACCTGTAAAGATCCGGACGATAACTAATTTTCAGTACCCCTATGCTAGTAATAAGGGGCGACTAACGGAATGGCAGGTTAGGCTCGCTGATTTGGTTGATGTATGTCATCGTATCCCAATTGCGTAGAGAGATGCTCATGATGTCAATGACTTGACAACCTGGTCCAGACCGCCTTCATATATAGATGAAATATTGCTGAGTGCGATGTTAAACAACAAACCAAAAAATCCTAGACAATAAAAATAAAATTGAACGCCTGTCTGATTTTCACATAGCTTAATTTAAAGTAAATGTCTTTCTGATCAGGCGTTCGCTCGTCACGCCGAAGACCCGGGTTCGAATCCCGATATGGGTACAATGTGTGAAGCCCACTTTTGGTGTCCCCCGCCGCGATATTGCTGGAATATTGCTAAAAGCGGCGTAAAATCAAAACTCACCCACTTTCTGATCAATCCTAAACACAACATGTTTTATATAGTTACCAAGATGGACGCTTTCGTATTGGGTCCATTGACAGGAACGGACAGAGTTGCTCTCCAAGGTTGTAAGGGTCATTAGCGGTTCAGTCGTGGCTGTATATATCCGTCCAGATGAAAAATAGACACAGGAACCTGTATGTGGCTTGCAGTGAACCACACAATGCCATCTTGTAGGAAGAGGTATGTTAAATGAGGCGTCATGACAAGTTGAGGTATAGGAATTTCCCAACCAGTTAAGCCGGCAGGGGAAGAATTGGAAATGAACAGTCTGTTCGTGATAACTACACGGATCATATTGGATCATTTAGTTCAGATAGAATACACGAACAGATAACGATTTCCCAAAGCTGCATGCGTAAGTTTTAGGTCTTATATCTGCGCAAATTTCAAAACATTCATTTGTCAAAAAAAAACATTTTACCGAGACAAGTATTCGGGTGACTGTTGTGTTATGCCGCAGCCAACAGTTTTCCGGCTATATCACAGCGTCCTGAAAATGAATTGACGCCGGACCAGGCGAACTAGTAACGGAATGAATCCGCAAGAACCCACACCTCATAAGTGAGTGAGTGAGTATAGTTTTACGCCGCTTTTAGCAATATTCCAGCAATATCACGGCGGGGGACACCAGAAATGGGCTTCACACATTGTACCCATGTAGGGAATCGAACCCGGGTCTTCGGCGTGACGAGCGAACGCTTTAACCACTAGGCTACCCGACCGCCCCACACCTCATAAGAGTATATTGACAGGCAAGAAACCAAATCACTCGATCTGACCATCCGATCCACAACTTAGTAGGATGAGGGACTGGGACCTATTCGGACCCGAAATACACAGGGGTGAAAAAAAAAAGAAAAGAAAACTGAATTCAATAAACATCCACAATATCCCCATTGATTTAGTTGACGTCCACTAGAACAGCACACTGCATTTATATAGTGTTCTTTGTCCTTAAAGTAAGACGATTATGTGTCCCTTTTCGGTCTACGTCTAGTCGTTGTACAAAATGAGACTGTCTGTGTGTAGTTTTTTTGTTTTTTTAACACCACGCAGCAATATTCCAGGTATATGACGACGGTCTGCAAATACTCGAATCTGGACCAGATACTCCAGCGATTGACGTGATAAGCATCGATCTACGCAATTTGGATGCGATGATAAACATGAACACAGTGAGCGATCCTGACCACCCTAACCCGTTAGTCGCATCTTACGACAAGCATGGGCTGCTGAAGAGCTTCGCAGGTGTCGATGTATCGACATGAATTTCTATGTTTGAAATGTTTAATGCACTGATTAATACTAAACAGATCCTAACGAAACAATCCGAATTCATTTGGCAAATTGATTTATGTGGTAGTCTTGATTAAAAGCTGTTCAAGTGACGTCATATATAATGAAACTTACTCGAATCCTTCAGTTTGATTCAATTCCTTTCAACTAGATGCAAATATACCTTTTCGCTCGCACGAATACAGAAAATGTCAATTTTCGATTCAATAGTGGCCCAAACCGTAACGTTATAAAGATCACGACCGCTGAATGATGGCGCCGATTGCAATATAACCACAGTTGAACGTCGATCAGGCCATCGCGACAACTTCAGCAAACTATACAGCTATTTAACCCCTATAATGCTAAAACGAAAGTGGGAAACAGAAAGGTCCATCCTCCCGCAGTGCTTTTTCATGTCATCCAAAATTGAAATATTCTGTTCAAACTACGAATCAAAATGTTATTTATCACATCAACAAGATTTTCCACCTTGTATGAGCAGCTTATATGATAATAATATATTCATAAGTGCTGGGAGTCTACACAGGGGAGATTGGTTAGGTGTGAAAGATGACGGCAGTACCAGCCAATGAGTAGGGCTCCACACTGAAGTCAAGTCCATTGATCGCGAGCGAGAAGAATGAAGCACGCATCTGCCTATGTTGTCGGTTTGTGTAGATGTTGTGCCGATCATCTCACTTCGACAGACGCAGCTAACGTGCTGTGGGATATAGGAGCTTTCTCAGAGGATACAGAACTCTGTAAGTGTTTCAGTCTTCTTGTTATTTCTTTTAACATTGGAACAATGGATTCAGCTCAGTTGTTTTTCCACTTCATCTTTTACAATACTTCTTTGTCATTAAGTTTCTAAAATGTTGGAAGAATGGATGTTTTAATTTGTGAGTCATAATTTTTATTTCTGTGTGACTTACAGATGCGTGTTGTACATGCAGGTGAAACACACACAAATAATGTTTGACGATTTCATGGCGCTGCTAACCTTAATGATGATTGGGTGCAGCTTGCGAATTTCTAGAAGTTTGCTTATATATTATGCATGTTTCCTTTGAATGAAAAAATGTTCAGCATACTTGTACAACAATCTGGTTATGCGTTTTTTTGTCAGTGACACCTTCTATTACATAACTACAATGTTTTTTGTCCTGACACCATCATCAATGGTTAGGAAGTACGTGTACATTGTTTTAAGCATTACGTTACACTATCATGAAGTCGTCATCCATGAAGATTTACATGCCAAATACGTCATTTCTGTATCGCCCTTCGATACTTACCATCAGTATGATGTTCAGCGCGTCCTTTTCCTCCGTAATGCCCTTGTGTGACAGTCTGACAAGAATTCAGGTGATATAAATTGTATCAGTTCTTGCCCCAAAATTGATCGGCTCCATCATAATTCTTAATGTCAGTGATGTGATGGAAATGTCTATCCTGTACGTTATCACAAGCGTCTGTTCATATGTGATTGCCATGGAACTTATTTTATTCCTGTTCGAAGGATTATTTGTTTCCTACTACATCATTTGTCCTGGTAATCAGTCATCAACAATGTTGATATGCTGCAAACGTTACTTACTAACTAGCTGACGTTAATTTCAACGAGGAAACGACTTACGTTGCAATTAGTTCAGGCTGAACGTACATGTCCGGATGAGTAAAATCTTCAAATCTTTTTGCATGATCGTCCATACGCTGAGACACGCATAGCTGTTTCTTGGATATATTTTATTTTATTTTACCATTTCATAAAGATGAATAAGTTTTGATGCATAGAATGCATGTTATGTAACTTGGCGTATTATAATCATATGTCACGCTAATACGTATCATATATGTCACTATATTCAATGGAACTTTGCCTGATCAATCACTCCTTTAATAACAATGGTAATAAGTTAAAAGAAACATCTCTACTCGTATCTACTCGTACCCAACGTTGCAACGTTGCAAATTCCACAATTTAAAGTTTGATGTCACTCTTCCCTCTTCTTCACACATCTTTTTGTGCAATGCTAATTTCACACTGTAGAACTTGGCACTCTTGTAAAAAAAAAGACTGTCATCGTTATGGCAATTGTAAACTTACAAATACGCTCTTTCCATGTGATTGTTCTCTGATAGTGGAGGTTGGTAGCCAAGTGGTTAAAGCGTACGCTCGTCATGACAATCTACTCCCTAACATGGGTACAAGTGTGAGGCCCATTTCTCATGTCCTACGTCGTGCTATTGCTGGAATATTTGCTTAAATCGGCGTAAAAGCCATGTCAATCACTCATTCTCTAAAGAGTCGTCGAAGATCCGCTGGCTGCGTGTTCAAATAACAGATTCACTGCGATTAAGATGTCACCTTCATCAGGTGGTTAATATACTACCCTACCGCGCATTGCTCACCTGGGTATATATATATATATATATATATATATATATATGCGCTTGTTTGTAGCATGGACAGATTATATAATCCTAGTTTATACAGAGTTTCTGAATATTAAGTGTAAAGAAGACAAGAAGGCATGGAAACTTGCATAATTACGATTTGAATATGCAATAAATATTGTCATTCTATAATCTAAGTGTTTCTTTTTGAGTGAGTAAAAAAGTAATAAAATGCTTTTATTTTATTTTTCTCTTAAACGTGTAAAGCAAAGATTATTTTACTAAACTTACTGCATTGAGTGAATTATTATTCTTCCATAACAGTCAAACAGCATGTGTTCATTACTCAAGTTTACTCTGCCTTCTGTATGGTTTCCAAGTCAATCTGAAAGTATCTTCCATATGCCATCACTGTGACAATTACATAATATATGAGTAATTGTTTCAGATGGTTCATTTCATAATGAACAACTTTTAAATAAATAATATTTAGTAGTTAAAATAGTATGCATAAAATAAAGAGAGGGGTGAAATGGAGTTATTATTGCACTTATGTAGCGACATGCGTGCACCTGTGTGTGTGTGTGTGTGTGTGTGTGTGTGTGTGTGTGTGTTGATTTTGTAGTGCTAGCCCACTGAGACACAATTTCGAAGCTCAACATTAATACCCCACTGGTCATAATGATTCCGAGCCGACCATAGCGTATTTTAGTATGACGCGACCGGGCATCGAAACCCGACCTTTAGCTCTCCGGGCAGACTCTCCATCCACTGGACCAGGCGGTCAATCTTTAGACAGACAGACAGGTAGATACATAGATAGATACATAGATAGATACATACATAGATAGATAATTAAACTGTGAGTTTATTCATTATATTAATCATTTTACTGGTGAGCGCTTTCAGCTCCAATGGGCGTCTTTAGGCTATGCATAACGATGAAGTAACAGTATATTTCATTGTTTCGTATGGTGAAGTAACAGCACAAAGTGGCAAGGATGGTTCAGTCACCTGAGGCGCCGCAATTCGCCGCTCCGAGCTACGTACCTTGGCCGTACCAGAATCCAATGATCGTGGGCTCGATTCGCCCTGAATATGATTCTAGCTTAATCAACACCTAGCCCGTGCTCATAGATTTTACCAATGAAGTACCAAGGGTCTATGACACTTCACCTCTGGCTTACCTCATATGAAGCTGACACGCGCTTATATAACGACAATCTCAACACACCATCAGCAGCTTTGTAAATGATTCCTTCATCCTGTGACATAAAACCAAAACCAAAACAAGTAATATGTCAAAATATATGTATTAGCGATATTCGCTATCACGACAAACCCGGTGGAAATTATCAAAGTGCTGTCATGGCATATCTGTCTTATCCAACCCTGATAAGGATTTTCATTTTGCGTGAGCTTTTCCCTGTGGACCTATATATTACTTCATCGTATGTTTTGCATTAGACGCATTGTTCGTTTCAGTCTTCAGGAGAGGAGACACTGTTCGTGCAATTTGTTCGAAGCCGATATACACAAACAAACTATTCTGGTATATGTGTAAACCCATCTCCTTGCCGCCTTACCATACCGAAGCACTCGAGACACGTGAGGGACCAGAGATCATACGATAGCACTGTTATCATCACAACAAAGGACTAACCTGACTCTGTTTCGCTAGTTACAAGAGATTATGAGGTCGAACTTGTCAGACTCATGCAAAATATTGATGTTTAAGTCACGCAACGAGCTGCATCTTTCACGTCACACGTCATTGCCAGATAAATCACAGGGATCATCTTATCTAGGGGTATCATATCTTGCAAATAAACGGTAAATTACCAAAAGGATGACTAAAAGCTTTTAATGCATTTTTGCTCATTAAAGGACGACACGAACACAATGTTTATAGAAAGCTGTTACAGGTTGTTGATTTCTTTTAAAAGGAGGAGATAGCCTGGGGTTTTATCCTACTTTAAAACACTCCGAGGGGATTCATCTTTCCCTTGTTGCGGTTGTTCCTGAAGCAGATCGATGGCACAGGATTTCAAATGTTCTCACAGCAGGTATCTCTCCCACTTTTTTGACAACGGGGAGATTCAGAAAAGAAATATATCGCTGCGTCATTTCCTGTTCCTCCTGGTTCGCACAGTCGGTCCTGATCGTGCTCCCGGTGGTCTGTCATCGACAGACAATTCGAAACAAGCGATCCCAGTTGGAATAATAGGCTACTTCGTGGACGCATTTACTCACAGTGGGTGGATGTGGTTTAAGTGGAATTTGGGCTATATTTGACGTCATGCGCTCAGGTTATTTTTTGACGTTTTGTTATTTATTAAAACCATCATGGGGTTCAGCTAGAACTTCTGTAAGTGCATTAACGTGCCCCCATAGACTCTTCACAACTATAAATTATTCAAGGAGTGTTACCACAGTTCCACAACAACGTATTGGGCTTGTAGTCTGTAATTCTGATCCAAATGTAGTTACTGTCTAGAGTCTATGACCACTTTTTTTTGTCAAACATAACAATAAAAAAGTCATGGCGTCCGACTGTGGTGCATGTGTTGTCCCGTTGTTATAGCGTAAAACTGCTAGACAGTTTTGAACATGCATGTACATGTATATGCCACACATTCTGTTAACCTTCACATTCCTGTAATATGGATCAAATGAATTGAATGTTACAGTTTCGTGAGCAAAAAGTATCTGTTATGATTGCCCTAGAAGTGTTTCTGTGTGAATTAATATGTGTACAACAGCTGCAGTTGGGTTTGTATTACGTTCATACACTCTTTACTCTTTTGAGGTTGAGCTAATTCGTTAGTTGCTTAGAAGCAGTAGGTAACTCCAACCGAGCTCGGATGCTTTTGCGAACATCTGGCATTACTTATATATACCTGGTGCTACTATTTCATGATGTGTATTGCATTCTTGCTGGCTTTGTGTATGATGTATACGAGTGCTTAAACTCTTCTTGTTTATGTCATAAAATATTTGTACTTATTATTCAAATTCCTTTTGGTAAGGACAAATAATTCCAAAATGAGAACTTTTTATCCTATCACTTGCGACCCAGGCATAATTTTGAGTCTTAGCTCTAGAATATACAGATGACGCAATAGGAATTGAGATATGAACCATCCTTCATCGGGAGAATTTCAGTATATTTTCAAAACGTGATGCATTCGATACCGTTTAGGTTGAGAAATACAGATTGTGCAAACCTAAGTGTTTTATGTGTTCAGGCGACGTTCACGTCGACGTGGGGCAGCGTTGTTGTTAACAAATAATTTTTATTAAATAGAGCGCAGTTTTCTTTGAGAAGCATTTAGATGTTGGAGTACTAAGTAAGAATAAGATA